CTCTCCCTTGGAGGTAGTGTAACGGCTGTGGCGTGCCTTGTCCTTTGCCTTAAGTTAATTTTAACATTTTCACTGACCAGTTGTTTTGTAATCGACTATTGGAGTAATAGGTTGGTACCAGAAGCTGCTAGAACAGTTTCTTGATGGAATTTCTGTTGACACTGTGAAATAATTCTGCTTGAAAATCTTTTGTGGGAGACATTCACACAGTGAATTGGAATTAAATATATGGATCATTATGTTGTTTGTTGAGAACTTTGACTACTATTTTATTTATTTGTATGTACATGTTTCTTTAGGAATGTGTCTTCCTGTCTGTGTTTCTGTTAAATTCTAATGTTCCCTTCTGAAGAACATTGAAATTTCTTGTAGTTACGTATGATCTGAAGGTTTCATGGTGACTAAGTTAACGAATTCTTGGGCTACCAACCATGCCAGGTGGTTGAATGGAGAAAACAACAATCCCGAGGATGAAGATTGTTCTCAAAATGGTGTTTTCTCCATTCAACCGCCTGGCATGGCTGGTAGCCCGAGAGGAATCCATTATTCCTGCAGTTAGTTGCATTGCCACCCAGTTTTCAGTAATGGTATGAATGTAACGAAGGATGGCGAACTTCTCATTTATTTCACAGATATTTACAAGTGGCTAGGTGCATACTCTGTGCCTCATGTCATTTATTGCATATAAAATTCTGTTCTGATGGTGCTTAATTAACAGTACAAATACTGCATTGCACTGGGGCATAAATCATATTCCACTAAGTACCAAAACGCATTTTTAAATAAAAGATATAGACTGTTTCTAGTGTTGTGTAATGATTTTTATCGATACCAAATTTCCAGATGCATTTAATAGTTTCAGACAGACTTACCTTGGCCTGTCTGTATTATATTTGTGTTCTTCAAGGTCAGAGTACATGAAAACTGTCGGTAGCCAATTTTTATTTCAAATGCTGCTCTTAATATACAAGATTTATAAGTGTATCATATCGGGAGGAAATTTATAATGCTGTAGCTGTGCCGTATTTAAGGAGTGCGCTTAAATTTGTTTGCTGCTGTTGGTAAAGAGATACATCATATATGCTAACGCACTCCTGTTTATGTGTTACATGTGCTCTGCTAATTTCTACTTCTGTTATTAGTATTGATAAAACTCATTTATGTCTAGCCATGGCATCCCATGGATGGACCCCCTCTGGGGTATGGGTCATTTCACCAGCAGTACTGGATGGATGGGCGGCTAATTGCTGTCGGAGTAATTGACATTCTGCCACGCTGTGTATCCTCTGTGTACTTCTATTATGACCCAGAACTGGGTCAGCTGTCTCTTGGAACTTATGCTTCGCTAAGGTATGTGTATCGCTTTCGAGTCAGGGTAGTAAGTTATCGTTAATTAAATTAATTTGAAATTTATTTCTTTATTGTACGTACATACCAAGAGTTTAGAAGCTTAAGTAAGATCTAAAATTTTTGTGGCGGTCTGCATATGTTTTGGGCTTTAATATGCGGAGAAACTTCTGAGGTTCTGCAGGAACTGTCCCTCCGCTGAAACCCCAGAAGCCTTTTTGTAATAATACACGGTGTTTCAACCCAGAAGGCTTCTCTTGGTATATCAATTTGCTAATACCGTACATAAGAAATGAGTAATTCATTACACATTTTTAAGTTTCACACATTGAACAGGTTGAAACTTTTATTATTGTTCCTTTGTGTAGGCATAGAAAATGCATTAACGTCTTACGTTTTTAAACTTGCAGAGAGATATCATTGACACGGTCACTGCATGGCCACGCTTATGCCCTGCAGTACTACTACATGGGGTTCTACATACATACCTGTCCAAAA